GAAGGGTAATTTCAGTCAAGGAGACGGAGCTGAGGCTTCAAATATCGCCGAAAATCTCTGATCGCCACCGACGACGTCGCCAACACCGAGGCATGAGATGGTCGTTCCGCGACTAGCTTTGTAGAGCGACGCAGTCGTCATCACCTGCACCGAGGATCAAAATCTGCCATCAAGTGAGTCGGTTCAAAGACGGGCTAGCTCGCCGGCGAGCGAGATGCCGACCTCGACCCACTTCCAAGCGACGGGGACGACTGGGGCCTCCGGAGTTCAGCTAAACCTGTCCCTAGTCCACCCATACCGCAGGTTGCTTCCTACGACAATTCGAAAACACATCGAAGCGCTATGCAGCACAACGAGACGCTACACATCGAACAATGGAATCCTCAGTTTACGTCTGCTCGTTGGACTTGATCTCTCTCGAGCAACCTTGACCTGGTAGCCAGAATAACGACGACGTTCGCCATCCTCGATCGCTTGCCTCCGTGCTCCGCTCTCCGAGAAGCATGATCGCCTCCAGCGTTGCCGCGAGAATATTAATCCATCGTTGAGCTTTGAGTGGAACGCCAATCTACGACAAGTTGTCGGCTCACCGCCGCTGAGGTCTTCGTGTTCTTTGGTGGACCGCTGTGGTCTTCGTGTTCGGAAATTTCCAGACGAATATTCGTTCGAGTAGCATTTGTGTATGTCGCATGCGAATGACCTACTTCGACCTAGCACCCTCACCGGCTGGGTTCACCCCTAATGCTGGAGTTCTGTTACGCAAGCAACTGGTGTCTGAGCTAGAGGTCACTCTGTCTGACCGGACTCCGGTCATCTTTCGGCCAGGGCCCCCCGTGCTCGGCGGGCGATGGTCCAGCTCGTAGGTCTTCGAGAATGGATGAAATCGGCACAAGGGTGGATTCGTGGGCAGCTCAGACAAGAAATAAAGACGAGAGCCCGATGTTCCCGTCAAGGCCGCGCTCGGGAACCTGAACTTTCTCGGAACACGCCCCCATTCAGTTCTCCTGGAAGTTGTTTCCCAGAAGATTCGCGGAAAGTATTGGACTGTCCCAAGGGCTCGGGATCCGAGTCCATCATTGGGCCGATGCCTATTACGTCCGATGTACTGTCAAGACTCGTGTCGTCAGAGGACGATTCAAGTAACGTGAGCGAAGGAAAACAATCTTACGTCTAGGTGCGTAATGCTTGAGGTCAAGGTTGAACGTGTCTTGGGCGCTGCCTTTTTGAGCGAGAGATCGCCGCTGGCGTCCAGCGAACGGAGTGACGATTGAGTTAACCGGCGTCGCGTGCGTGTCGAGCGAGTCTGAAAGAATCTTTCTGGAAGGATCGACGGCTCTGTCGGGGGCTTTGCCTCAACGGGTCACGCGTCTCGAGAACGCGTGGCGTTTTGGAAAGATTCCCGCCTAGAGTTTTATCGAATAGACGGTCGACGGATCGAGGAAGAGTTCAAGGTCTTCGAGAGCTCGGCCGGAATGCTGTCACTCTCTACGGCTGGTCTCCATTCGCGGTAGAGGCAGGCACCGCTGTCGTGGGTTCGCGTCACCTGCGATCGCTAGTCCTTGAGCTAGAGAAAGTTCGACAACTGAACTCCGATGAAGACCTTGACCGCTCGACGCGGTATGACGACAACGAGCAACCGCCGTCACTTTAGATCCCCCCCTCGAAACTTGGTCCGCGCATTCGAATCGAAGAATGAATGGATGGGTGGACGGACGGAAGGTCCTCTGGTCGGACATCGGGGTGGATGAGCTCCGAAGGAATGCGAGCGAGGCTTTTTCCGATAAGCTTGACCAGAGCGGAGCGCACATGCCCGCCGGTGGCCTTGAAATCTTCATTGATTCTTTGTACTGAATTGTGTTGAATTCTTTCTTGGCGGCTCCGCACAGCGACAGTCTCTCCGGATGTCACGAGCACACGAACAGTGGCCTCCTCCGCGCCAGACGGATCGTGGGACGCCGCCGTCGCTCGTTATTAGAATAGCGCTCAGTTGGTTAGCCGCCGCCGCCACCGCTTGTCTGGGGGCTCTACCATCTCAAGAGTGGTTTGAGTTACGGCTGACGCGTTTGCCAATCGCGGGGTACGAGCCGACGTGTTTTTGAACTTGTCGGCAGCCCACCAACTGCTATAACATAAACACGAGAGGCTATGTTCCCAGACATCGCCCCACGTCTGACCCACTTTTTTTTCAGCAGACGCTCAATCCAGCACTGCGCGCTCCCCCCAAAAAAAACCTGCAGTGTCGACCTGTAGCTTCTCTTAGATGTCGGCTCGAAGTAGGTCAGCCCATTCGGCCAAGGATTCTGCTTGTGTCTGCTCCGCTCAAACATTAGACCTTTTCTTCAGGCGAACCTTCGGAGCTGGGAAGTCTGATCCGATAGATGAAACATCGATCTCCAGAAGCGCCGAGTAGACACCGGCCACCACAGACACCTGTGAACGCCCGTACGCAGACTCTCACGCGCTCGTGGAACCCCTCTTTCTTCCAGATGTTGTCTGAGTATCAGGGTAGAATGACCTCTAGCGAGGAGGAGTAACTCTTCCGAGATTCCAGACGAGGTTTATGATTTTTCGTCGCTTTTCCGCTGAGATAGCGCAGCTGTCTCCTTCGTTTCCAGCGAATGGGTCGAATTCCTACGGATCCTCGTACTGACCTATCGGACCCGAAGTCTGAAACCTTGTAATCGATGTGGGAATGAGATTCACCGTACGAATGGACAGGGGTCTCCGGAGTTCAAAGAACTTTCCAAGCGCTGACTTAGGGGACGAACATTTCGTCATAGGGCAGAGCTTAATCCGAGGGTATTCTGAGATGAAATTCACTTGGACGTCAATTCCTCTGCACCGACTGCCATCGCTCCGGATGTAATCCCGTCCCAGCAGAATAATGCTGTCGAGTTAATATTCAGGATTGAGCTTGGAGACGGGACCGCCGGCGAGGTATTCACCACTCATGAAGCAATGCGCGATGGGGAGTTCGATCTCCGACCTCATTCAGCTGGGTTGTCCATATTTCATAGGGCTGATGTCAGGAAACTCTGTGAAGTAATTGGACAAAACCGCCGGCGTCGGTCGAGCTTCTCCCGTCTTGAAAATCATGCAAGAAACGATGATCGATCGATGGGAAATCCCCCCGTAATTCGTTACTGTTCCTGTAGGATCATGGAAAACCATCAAAGGCAGTACCGGGACCCTGATCTATAGATGCACGGGAACTCGAACCCCTCTCCGGAGGGTCCTTCGAAATATTCGGCTTATTTCTCCTCCCGTAGCCCTCGATTCCTAGCCTCCAACGAGCGCTTTTAATATGACTTTGGATGATATATGATTATGTAGGATTGCGAGTACCAATATCGTTCTAACAATGTTACTGATGGGAGAATGAGCCTTCTCCGTGGCCCGGGCATCGTCGTAGCCCGGGCTGCGTGATAGCTCCCGGCCGGTTTAGGGAGACGGTTTTTAGAGACGGTGTGGAGCGGGCAATCACTACGTCAAGCACTCCATTCTGTTGAGCCATTCGAGCATAAAGGTATCAAAAGGACACCGGATCGAGTGGACTGTTCTTTATCGAGGCCGACAATGGCTACGACAAATCCCCGGAATCCAGTCAATGACCTGCGTTTACTCGATTCACACTCTCGACGCGATACGCGCATCTTTGCATCATTCATGGTGGTGACGTCTAGAAACTCTCCCTTGGGCAGCGCGATGGGAAACATCCAATCAGCCCCAGGGCTAAATATCTTCAGAAAATACTCGCATGCCCTCATGTGCACCGATCTCGGTATCCTGCCCCAAGCTGAGGACTCCGATACTCGCTTCAGTGCTCGGTCTCGCGGCTTCGACCAAGGAGCCCTCGGGATATCGGCTTCTCAAACAAGGAATCAAGGGTAGCATACGGAGGAAAAGCTGCGGGGGATTCCTGTGCGACGTCAGACCCGCTGCCAATCCCAGTGAAATAAATCGCGTCCACCGATCAGAACCGTTCGGCGCCTGACACACTAACTTTCCATGTTTCCACGGTGTTGAACCTCCTTCTATTGATAGGGAGAATTGTTCTAAGGAAGCTTAATGGCCACTTCAGATCCACATCGACTGCTCTTCTGCATCTGCTGACGACTGACCCCAGCTGGCTTGAACTTCGTCCCATTTTGGCGCCTTGCGGACGCAAATTTGGACTACGACTCCATATCGACGAAGCGAATCCGAAAGCACGGTCGGATATAATTCATATAGTATGACCGCTGCTCAGCTTGCGGATTCGCCTTCTTGAGAGTAGAGCGCGGAACCGTACCTGACCGTATGTGCAGCTCTGGTCGGTTCCCGGAGTTCTATTTCGACTCGTCTAGGTCCTGTCGTTCTCAGGAATTCGTACCAACCCGCCGAATCTTCTCGAGAACGTAGAAAATCGCTCAGGCCCATGCCCGGCTCTGCGCCCCCCACCGAAAGCGTCACAGGTGTCTAGGTGCAACCACGACCAACGATTAGGGTTCGACTATGGGACTGAATAAATTGCAGGGACGGTGTCGATGGGAAGGGAATGCGCATCGTCGAGCGGCTCTCGTTACGTTCGACGTCTTCGGTAATACTGATTAGTGAAAAGGTCTAATTTACGCTCTATATGGAGAAAGCACATGGTCGAAGCGTTATGCGACCACCGGCGGCAGTTCTCTGTGTCGTGAACCAATTCTGAAAGAAACACTCCCAGTATCGCATTATGGCGCATCCCTCTCATGGAGCCCTCGCCACAAGGAGAGAATAGTGCGATCTCCTCGCCCAAAGCGCGCTGGAGACCGCCCATACTCAAAACATATATAAATTAGTAAGTAGTCGATTCTTGCTAGAAAACCACAGCTGAGTTTACACTGTGGATTGTACGACGTGCGTCTTTGCAAACGCGGTCGAAACCATTGGTGTCGACCGTCTATCACGAGCTATCGAGTCAACATTCCGTTGTCAAACTGTTGTCACTCACTCATTCAAGTTGACACTTCAACATCATCATGTACTGGTTGCTAACGTTAGGAGTACTGTCGGCCGCAACAGCACCTACAAATGCGGCGAGCTACAACCCTTGGTCCGACTTCACCAACAAAATCAGCTCATCTCTGGAACGAGTCCTCGACGTCGATGCACTCGGTCCCCATTCGAATGTCTCCCACATCTGCGTAAACGCAACAAGGCAGTACCTCATCAACCTCGATCTTGAAGAGCTTTGGGCAATGAAAAGTGAGTCTACAACCTTTGATTTTGGATGTGGGAGTCGCCGAAAACTCGAGGTCAACTTCAGAAACGGCCACAATTATTCTTAGGATCTGTGGGAAAAAATTGTACTCTGCCCAATCCTGGGAGAGGGCTCTCGATCGGAAGATTTTTCTTGGGGGAGGATTCGCGCGTGCCAGCGCGTACCTCACGCTCCTTTGGAATGAGCGTGGCGCTTGCGTGACGTGATCGGCTCACCAGAAAAGGAGTTCCGAGGTCGCGTCGACAACAGGCGCATCGATCCGATTGTTCTGTTGAAGTGCGTAAATTTCTCGAGTAGTATCGTGTGGCTCTGGGTGATCCTGAATCCTCGACTTAGAAAGTGTCGGCATGCTCTAAGACCGGGAAACCTCGGCGACTACCTTTGTGACGTCGGCGGCGGTAGTATTGGTTCGTAAACCTCGTGTCGTCTACATCATCTTCGACAGCGCGATCATGATCGCAGACGAGCACGCGTAAAAGCGAGGAACAGTCCCGCAACAAGTAAATTCGCTGCCTCGGGGTCGTTGACCTGGCAAGGCTATATTTCTTGCACGGCTTCTAACGGTCCTTTGGACCTGGCGAAGCGCCCGTCACTTGAAAGCTGTACGAAAAGACGTTCGACTACGAGTTCCTCGCAGTGCAGACTCGCCGTCTTGATCGGCAACGTCTTCAAGATAGCCAGCGGGAGGAATGACAGCCGTTCCAGACACAGAAGTCGATTCTCGACCGGCTAGGATGAACTCCGAAGAACTGGTCGTTTGCCCTCTCGCTGATTCGGTCATTTGCTCCTCGGCTGGCTCCGTGAACATTTCACTTTCGGTTTCGTTACGAACGCAACGCAATCGCTCCGGCTGACTCGGAGCGCTAAGGGAACGCGATTAACTCCCACAGTGCCTCTCTCGCTCGAACGTCCTTGCTGTGACTCGATCCCAAGTGGATGGGGCTTTCGCGAGTCCACGCGATGAGCTGACGATTCCGTGAACGCTATCCCTCGTCCGAGCCCCTTGCAGTCGACGCGCGATCCCTCGATCAGCTGGAGCCCCGACAACTGAGTTCGGAACGAGGCTAGACCGCGAATATTCGCGTTTGCCCGACCCGCTTAACTCGAACCAGCAGTCCGTAATCAGTACTCCAGCACGGAGTATATGTGTCACGAGAATTAGTGGTCTTAGGCATTCTTAATCGAATGAGACAAAAAACGCGACGGCGGCGAAACCAGCAGTGGCTTTTTCAGCGGCTAGCGGTCATCGACCGATCGCTGGAAACGACCTTCCGCTTCGCATGCTGCCGCTTGCCGTTCTAGGGTTCAAACCCCACGCGCAACATGTCCCGCAGCAGCTCTAATCGATCCCGGTTTTCGAGCAATGACTCGACCGATTGCTTCGAACAATCGTCAGTTCGTTCCGCCAAAAAGCCATTTAGAAGTTTCAGCCGAGCCATCGATCCGATCAATCGCAGACGGTGCGGTCTTAGCTACCGGGCTCAAGCGAACGTTCGATCTCGACTCTGGCGTCTAACTCGGCTCCTTTCGGCGGAATCGAAAGCTCCAAAAAGATCTCGGAGTTCCATGGAAAACTTTTCCCCATATGTAGGACAGTCGATCGAGCGGATCAAATCTGCGACTAGATTCAACTCTTAAGCCTTTCTATCTCGAATGGCGGCGGCATCCGAACACGCCTGCCGAGCACCGCTTTCGACCGCAACTGGCGCACTGGGATCAAGGTTATGTAAATAGAAACGGACTCAGAAACAGTTTCTGGCCGGAAAACTTGGCCCCCGTGCGGCCATCTTCAGACGTAGCGGCCGGCCCGTGTCTCCCGTGCGTGATCCTTCTCCAACGCCGACGTTGGAAGAGAGCGCGGAACCTCCCGATCGCTCGGATGCCTCGATTTATGCGATGATTGCGTCGAGTGACAGCCCATACGACACGTGATCGACATCATTGAATTGACAGATTAGGGAAATCTAAACAATGCTTTCGTAAACGCGTGACTGAGGCCGCCGGTAATACTTCTCTTAGCCGATAAAGCTGTCCACTGTATGGGGAAGTAACAGGATACGTGTGCCACGGTGTGACGCTTTCGCGTGATTCCCTTGCTGGGAGCCGGCAAGCGGTCGCGGCGCGGTGTCAATGCCTTAGGAGGGGCAGATACCGGCATCACAGAGAATGAAAGATTTGTGCCGCTTTCACTTATTTGGCACAGTTCCATTGCATTCGGCACAAGCTACAAGAACACTCGCCGACAGAACTTTCAGCTTTTGTACCGACCGTGGAAAAAGGCGTGGAATCCGTCCGAACGTGTGTCCATCCGTCTGTCAGTCAGTCGGTTTCGTCCGTCGTTGCCAGCAGCCGCCATTTCGACCGGTCGGTCTGTCAGTGAGGCAGTGGGTTTCTGTGTCGGTTGGCAAGCCAGGTATCAGACAACTTTCGTTGGCTCGTCGACGTCTGACTAGAAGTAGTTGGTTCGCGGGCAGTTCTGCTTGCCACCATTGGGCTTCTCGAGCCCACTTCGTCCGTCCAGACGCCCGCCGCCGCCGCCTCACTCCTTCCCGGTTCGGTCACTGACTCCAGAAATGGATTGTTCTAAATTTCGGATCGGATGATTCCTCTTCCGGGAGCAAAGAACCGACTAAAACCGACGGCGGTGTTGACGACAGAAAATCTTCGCCGACTTCTGCTCCTCTCGCCTTTCTGTCGCGGCGGCGCGCGTTGCCGCCGATTCCCATCAATCCATCCCATCTAATAGAAAGCGAACCATTCACTCGTAGCTCGCTCGTCGTTCATTACAACTACCGGCTTTTTTTTTCTGCACGCGTTCTTCCACCGGTTAACGGAGCTACGCCGACCGTCGGACGTGGGTACGGCTATCTTTTATAGTTAAAAGGCATTGGTTAGACCTCGTGATTCCGTAAATCCTGGTTTCGTGGTGGTCCGATCAGAAGTTTTCCTACCGAGACGACGGAGCTGGAAAGCGTCTGGCGCAGCGGGGGCCCGAAACAAAGGGGTGCGCGACTTTCTCCACGTTCACTTTCATCGAGCGACCGAAATCTACTCCGACCGGAGTCAATGGCGAACGAGCGTCAAATTTTTCGTCGGGTCGTGCAGAAAATGAGCGCAGCTGATTGTTGAGAGACTGAGTGAGTGACGATTGTCAGTCGCTTGTCCCTGCTGCTGCGATGGTAATGGGAGTAACCGAAGCGGCCACAATCTTCCCGGGCTTGTTTGACGGCCACGCTAGAAATAGCCTTTCCTTGAAAATTCTGTCAGTTGGTCAGTAACACAGTCCGCTGCTACTGCTGCCGCTGCTACTACAACTACTACCGAAGTCGTCGTAGCTGCCGCTTTATCCTCCGACGAATATGGAGCAGTCACCTTGTTCTTCTGCCGGTCTGCTTCGCTGATATGGGACAACACACATCAGGCACTCACACACACACATACGGACAGATGAACGAGGGAGCGGATGGACCACCGACACTGATTCCAGCATCTGAAACGGGTCTGGCCGTACAACATGCGCGGAATACATGGAAGTTTCTACACATTGCCCATAAACTCGATCGCGCCGGCGTCACGGTAGGGATCTGACGTGACTTTCGGCTGAGCGAGTTGAATTCTTCGGTGGTCGGTCAGACACACATCCTGGCGATCGATGGCTTCACGTGGCTTAGAAAAATATTCGTGCGTTCCGACAGTCATACCGGACGGCAACGTCTCGCGGTCACTGTCTAGAAAGCGAATTTCATGTTAACACAACGGCTATGTAGATATATCGATAGATATACCTCCTACCTGGCTGCGACACGGCGCGCGCACACCCGAAGAACGGTCAATGATCTTTGCTTTACTTTCACTTGATTTTGCTACGCAAGAGCTCGACTCGTTGTTATTACGTCAATTGCACGCGATGATCATCGTTTCGGCGACCGTGCGCGACTTCCGAAGTATTCGAGTGGAATTCTCCAGATTCTGAGGCCCAAGAAAATATCGTTTTCCTGTCCGCGATTCTCATCGCTTCCTGAAATCTGCCAGAAACGTTCAAGTTGAATCGAAAACTGAAATCACACGAGCGGCTCTCTAGTCGGAGCGCATTTTCAGCTGCGTTTCGCTCGTCTGAGTTTGTCTGAAGCCGATATCGTCTAGCTTGTCGCGAGGCGACGAACTACCCGGCTCGGGATGGGGTTCGACCAGAAAGCCCTTCGAAGAATGACGGTGGCGGCGCAACAATGGAGTTGGTCCGTCGCGTCGTCGCAAACGCTGCTGGGCTTAAGCATCGACAATGATATTCTAGGCCGGAGCTAGAGTCGCCCGGTTCCGATACCGCGGGACACTTGAGCAAACATCAAACAATGCGGGCGGCGCGAGTCAGCGAACGTTCTCCAACCCGCTCGATCAACGCGCGCGCCATACGCCCTTCGGGCCGCAGCTGGGCTTTCGAGAGACACTTTTGTTAGCGTACAATGGTTCCGATTCGAGGGATGTATGCAAGTAGTAAAAGAGATGACAGCAGAATCTTCGTCCGCGGCTGTCGGAGAAGAGGGTCATTGACTCCAGTCTTTTGTCACTCTCACTCTTCTATCGGCAACCCGTTAAGCGGCTGCCGCCGATCCGAGGGCTCCCGTCAGTCAGACACGCGGAATACTTTGAGTCGGCATCACCTACAGCTTCTGATCGGGTGAATAGACGCGACGTTTCCCGCTCGAGCCCTAGTCCGGAATCCGGACCACGAAGACGGGAGGGGAACAACTCATTATAATTGAGTTGGGAGCTTCGACGGCTCCACCGGGAAAAGGGCCGCTTCGATGCCATCGATCGCGGCTTCAGCGAACGATGCCGACAACGAGAAGTTTCAGGTCTCACTTTCGATAGCCGACTGGGCTGCTCTGATACGGGGCTCCGGATGGATGCATGAATGGATCGAAGGAAGTTCCCCGCCGTAGAATTCGCTGTGGAGCAGGCGTCGTTTCCGTCTTCGACCGGTCGACAATCTTCTTCTGACTAACCAGAAGTCTTCGACGCGCCGAGGCAATCATCAGCCGCGCTCGATATCGCGGGCAGAAGTAGCCTTGGTAGTTGCGGGAATGGAAGCAGAGGGGAGCCTACGATTTCAGACCGGCCGACGGTCCCCCTCTGCACTTGATATGTTTCTCTGACGAATTTCGAGTTTTCGTTTCTCTTCTGCTTCTCTGATTCTCGGTCCATCCGCCAGACACCGGCGGGCGCCTCCGAGAAGACGACTTCAGAAGAAGAACATTAACCCCTTTGAGCTTTTCCGATCTTCCTTGCGCCTGGTGGGGAACGCCCGACGAGAAAATTTCCCGGGAGGCCGAGCGAAGTGACTTGGGGAAATTCTTATCCCTCTTCCTTTGCGACAACCGAATAAAGCAGAATGTTCGGCGGAAGGTCGGCCAGAAAAAGTCGCAATCAGGTCGCCGGGCCCGCTAGAATAGATCCGACACACACCGTGGGCTCGAGAAAAAATGCTAAGCGATTTCCTCTTCTTCCGCAGTGTTCGATGCGACAGGACGACCGGACAGCGGGGTGCTCCGGGGCGGATTCTCATTTTTGGGCTACTACTCGGAATGTATCCAAGCGGTTCCCGAACCCCTCGAATCGCACTATCAACCGCCGTTCGTCAGCAGCTACTGCCTGGCTACGATCAATACCGCTGGAGCGGAGTTGAAACCATCTGTGGTGAGTTCGAGCTTACAGATTATCACGGAAGTTGAATTTTTGTCTTCATGTTCCCATTGGAATGCCGACAACGCATTATGTCGATGAACAGATTATTCTTATCGAACATTGCAAGAGAAGCCCGATTATAAAAAACATCGAGTCAGCGATTGACAGCCTGTCGATGGCCTACCGGGCCGATCTACAGTACGCAGTATTTTAATGGCGCGTTGAAATAATTTCCAGCATCTACCGAAAGACATCATGCGGATGGCGGTTGCTTCACAATTTGCGCGCGTGGGTCTGTGTGTGCCTTCGCTCTGCTCTCCCGAAGACGTCAAGGAAATCATGACCATGAGTGAGTATCCATGTATCGGATTCTCGTGACGCTTATCGGATATCGCTCTGATGATGAGATCGATATCCTCCACTTCGTGGGACGGAAACTCCGAGAGGGAACCTCGAACCCGGACTAACGAGACTCGTTCTTCCTCAGCTCTGACGAGCTTGGTATCCGGATCATCGGTCGTCAGCACCTCGTGCTCTGAAACCGGCAAACGACTCAGTTCCGACTCGAAGGCTGTCGTGATGTCCGGCGCCCTCCTGTTCTTCGTTGCCCTGGCCCTATGCGGAAGTTTCTATCACTTCAGCCGAGATACCTGTGGCGCGAGCTCCATGGAATCTCGATCCGAACACACCCAGTCCGCTTCGACGGATCCCCTAGTGGTACCGAAAAAACCCTCGGAGTCAACGATCGCCCGTGTCCTCATGTCTTTCTCTCTGCTGGCGAACGGGAAGAAAATTCTTCACGTGGGAAAGGCCAGCGAAGGCATTTCGTCCATCCACGGTCTCCGAATGTGGAGCATGTTATGGATCATCTTCGGCCACTCGTATTCGTTCGCTCAGCAGTGGGTGACCTACAGAAACACCGAGGACATGAAAGCCATCCCTGCCGACATCATCAGCCAAGGAATCGCCAACGGCACATTGTCCGTGGACACGTTCTTCTTCATTTCGGGTCTCTTGATCGTGTACGTGGCGTTCACGAAGATGGACCAATGCGCGGGAAAGTTGAACCTTCTCTCTTTCTACCTCCACCGGTACTGGCGCATGACTCCCCTCATGATGGTCGCGATCGGCATCTGCGCCAACGTGCTTCCGTATCTAGCCGGGGGACCTCGTTGGACCGAAGCTATCTCGATGTACGACTCGACCTGCCGGAGCAACTGGTGGTTGAACGCCCTGTACCTCCACAATTTCGTGAACACACCTCAAATGTGTCTCAATCACACCTGGTTCTCGGCCGTCGACATGCAGTTCTACATCATCTCGCCGGTGATCCTGCTCGTCCTGTACAAGAACCGTCTCTTCGGGCTCATCCTTATCGCCCTGCTCGGGCTCACGTCCATGGCAGCCACCGCTATCATCACTGCCGTGAACAACTATCCGGCCATGCCATACATCTCGAACCTCGTGTGAGTGTCTTCTGCAATCCTTATCGTATAGCTGAAGCTGGCTCGTGAGCCCTGACAGACTTCGAAAACGAAAAAAAAATCGGGATCTCTAATTTCATCGTTCCTTATTGTTACAGGCCCATCGATATCATGAACGGCTACATGGCAAACGTCTACATCAAGCCGTATTGCCGTATTGGACCCTATCTTGTCGGAATGCTGACAGGTTACGTCATCCACCAGAGCAACGGACGCCTGTACTTCAGTCGTCGTTCGGTCGTCCTCGGATGGATCGCAGCTACTCTCGGAATGCTCATTGTCCTGTATGCGATGTGGAACCCTAACACCGGCCGATCGCTGCCGTCGATCGCCGTTGCCGCGCTGTACGGCGCTTGCTCGAGAACGTTGTGGGCTATCGGTCTCAGCTGGATCGTGCTCGCTTGCCTAAGCGGCAACGGGGGCTTCGTGAACTCCGTGCTCTCGTTCAGAGGCTTGATCCCGTTCAGCAGACTGACCTACAGCGCCTACATCATTCATCCAATCATCATGGCTGTCTTCTATGGATCTCGGGAAACGGTGTACGACTACTCGCCTTCACTTCTCACCTACTTCGCTCTAGGCAACATCGTTATCACGTACGGTCTCTCATTCGTCATGTCGCTGCTATTCGAGGCGCCGCTGATCGGACTCGAGCGGGTCCTCTTCCACCGGAAGTGATCGCGCTGCCGCCGGTGGCACAATCTGAATCCTAGCTAGCGAAGAGGATGATGATGTTAAACGATCTCGCCGTTCTCCGGCCCAGAGTTGGGTTCCACCGCTGTCTGCGTACACGAAACAAGACGATGTCTGACTGAGATTCCGGAACGTCGAGGCAGACCGCCTATCTGTGATAGCCGAGTAGAGCTAGTAGCTTATTTATACATATTCTTACTATATGTAGATAGTTAGACCTGGAGAATTATACTTTCGAACGATGGAAGCTTGAATGAGGACATGGTTCCTATTACTCTATGACTGCCTCACTCTGAGTAAGTTGGATAGACTGAATTTTTGTTCGAAAGTCGAGTGATTGTTGTTGATATGCGAAAATGTTCCCATTACGTGAGATTGTTTTCTCAGCGAGTGAGGCGTCATACTTTCACGCGGAATGTCCCGAAGCTACCTCTGAAGATCTGAGGCGTGACATTTGCAATGTCGATCGCTGCTCAGGTGTATTTTCTATTACCAAAGGCTTTATTGACGACGACTGACTCGTGCCAAATGCAAGAACGTTTGGAAATCATACTTTCAACTCGATACAGCGGATTGGTACGATGATGATCTGCTCCGGAATGCTTACTCCCGATAGCATCGATTCAACTATGCAAAACCGTACCAAAAACTAGTTCGTGATTTTGCAATTACACTGCCGTCAATCGATTCCATCATTGTCGGGTGGGGAATCGAGATCCAGTGAGGTTTCCCGCCATACATTCGTCTCAGAACCTCACAATTTTTGCATTAAAAATTAAGAACAGAGCTGGAGCGAATCGAGTTTCGTGAGATAAAATAAAGAAAACGCACCTACAGAATGGAGCTGCACTGTCTTTTGCATGAATATGCGGTCAAAATCTTCGATTATAAACTATCCTCTCTCATTCTGGAGTTACGATTTAGTACTTCCTGAAACTACCCGGTCGGAAATTGTCCCTCTCGTTCAATTCAATTCAAGTCGATTCAATACCTTTATATCCATGAGGGTCTCGCGGGTAAGCATACCGCGCCAATAACGACGAGCTCTGGTCTGAACACATACTTTATTGTGAATGAAGGCACGGCTATGCTTTCCCGATATACGATTACTATGATCAATCGTCTCCCTTGGGGCAAAAGCTTTCGCCCGGACGATAAGGCCGCGTCGTAGCCTGTTGCTCCTTACGGCGACAAAGAAATCTCGATCGGGGTATAGGATAGGTAGGGCGCGCTGGAATTCAGCGGATCCCTGGGGCACGGCTGCGAAACTGGAGCATATCGCAGTCAGGAACGAGCGTTGGAGCCCGAAAAGATTTCCCGAATCCAACGCCGCGCAGCATGATACAAGCAAGAGCTACCTCGTTCCCCCGAAGCAATCACGCATGCTTGGCCTATCACGTCGCAAACTCATGGAGCCTCCCTCAAAACGTCCCCCGTTGAAGAGTCGGAGCGAAACCATATCTCGACCGCTCAATAGCTACGCGGAGAGCCCCGGGGCGCCTACGATTCGCTCGTCCTCCTTGTTGTTTCCGCTAGAGTCTCGAAATCTCCCCAGATGATGTCGTCGACGACAATAATCATCCGCCCGGCGCAAACCGATCCCGATCTGCCTGCCGTGGATTTAGTAATGGGCGACATCGGCGTCAGAACAGGGGACTTCCAGACAATCAAGGCGAAACCGAAGTGCAAGGCATCAGATGCGCTCATACGAGAACCTCTACGCTCTACGTCCTCCAGACTTCTCAGGTATCCGGGGAGCTCGAGACCTCTCGGCCACGGAGTCTTGGAAATAAAGTTGGTTGTCTTCCTCGACGCCATGCGAGAGCTGAACACGGGACGCTCATGATGATTACACAGCTGTTTCTTCCACAGGAACCTAGATTTCCGAACTTTTCTCCGTGAGTAGATATGACCTCCATGATAGCCGATCGTGGTGCTTTGCGATTCCACTCGAACTTATATATATATATGAGGCATCGATATTGAACGGTGATTCCGCAGATTCGCAGTTCGATTGTGTTTATCGACATTTACTGTCTCATGAGAATCACGAGTGACAAATAGGGATTCCATCAATCCGATCCTTCGCGGCGGAAAGCTTCCTCCACGATATGTCGTAAAGACCCCTCCGTTCAACTCGATAGGCACCGTCTGAGCTCCTGTTGACAGAATCAGCACGAATTGCCGAGCGTGTGAAGCTCCCGGGATATGATGTGCGTGAATCGCAACCCCCCAGCACCGTCTTCGAGCTACGACGAATGTAGGGAAAAAACTCCTAGAGAACTGCATGAAATAATGTCTTCCACCCTTCAGGGCCGCCCCCTCCTTGAGGGTGCGGGATAGGCTCTTCGTTTCGACCGCCGATGGATGTCATATGATGGAACCAATGGGTCGTACGATGCACCTTTCAATCCGTATATATCATGATCGATAATAATATAATATTTATTAATTGCACTCGATAACAGAGTATTGTACGGCCACATCGCCTTCGTGGTGCGTAAATTCAGCCGTATATATCGCTCCGATATATCTGTCACATGGAAAAATAGGGATGTGGCATGATATCCTCAGTGAGACATTCAGCATTCTCGACCCTTATCCTCCTATAAGATACACGCACCATGGTGTCTGTTAGTTCGCCTGCTCTGCCCTCAGGTTTTCTTGGACGATTCATGCTCAGTTCAGACTCTATGGATGCGAGATGATCTCGGAGGGTGCGAGTCGACCTTATTCGCGTCAAAAAGCCGAATTTTCGTGGTCGACTCGCCACGATGTCTCCATCATCACTCTCCCTCAATGGCATGTAGCTAACTCTGCGCTGGAATAGCCCCAGAAAAGGAATGCTTCTTTTCTATGAGATAACAACCGACAAGGTTCATTCTATAGTGATGGACGCCGAATTTTCGCGCGGAGCCTTGCCCATGGCAGACAAAGCCTCTCTGTCGCGGTGGGCTGAGAAACGTCAGTTCCGCCAAGAGATCGGTGCATCTAATCGGAGTGCGATCATGCGAGTTCGTAAGTGTGTATTTGTTACGATGTTCACCGCGACCTACGAGCCATGGGAGTCTCTGACCGCTGGTCATCAAATGTAAAGGTTTCCTTGCCTACTTCCACCCATTCCGAGGGGGCAACCGTCTCGCTGAATTTGCGGAACTTATATCTCGGGCTGACGTTGCTTCAGATCACAAGGAGTCGCGGAGATCGTCATAATAGACTTCTACTTCTCTGGCGGCTCTTCATGGGTCCTCATGAGGCACTCGTATTTATTGCCTTTCCCTCCGCACTCGTCGAGGCTTCACAGTGTACCTCATTTCCGTGGCTTGTCACTGTAAGTTTCACAGACCGTCTTCATTCCTCCAGGAGGCTCCGGATTATTTCGATGATGTTAGCCCCACATCGGAATAGAGAGAGATTCTTCCGCATTTTCGTAGAATTCCTCCGGAGTACTGCACGCTGCGCTGGCGGTGCCCTCCGTCGAGGTCCCGAGGCTCTGTTTCCGGGTCTCCTTGAGATTCGGTCAATTCAAACTACCCTAAGAGTTGAGTCGTAGGCCGAGCGAGATTTCCGACCAGCGGTCGGGAATATGTGTGGACGAGGTATTCACCCCTTGGGTTGAAATTCTCGATGTGTGTTCACGGATATTTCTGCGTACGCAAGATGACAATTTCCCGGAGGGCGTTATCGCTTTCGAACTCAGAGAGCGGATGAGATCTTGAAAGGAGACCTTGTCGAGCAGAGAGTCCAGATCGCGCCGATCGAGTCGGAGCTTACGATGCCGGGGATGATAGCGGAGGTATACCCGGCGGCGCCGGCGAACCTTTCGAGCATTGATCATTATTGCATTCCACGGCGTACAGCTGACGAACTCTCGAGATCGACTTACGCTGCCGAGGAATCATCTGATTCTCGATCGTGAGCTGGGCGCTTGACCTGGAGGGGGATAGGGAAAAATGATATACGCCATGAATTCGCTGTTTTGACTCTCCGGTAGTGATTTCGTAACGAATTCTCGACGGCGAAACGGTCTGGAAGAACTGGTGGGAATAGGTCTCTCCCTCCTTAGCCAGGGCATCCCGCACTCCCCAGAGAGCATTCATTGAATTGACCGGCATTCTCTCTCTTAAAGACGCTCTCTCCGAATGGTGCCCCCGTAGGTCTTCACCTTTAAAACTCCTCATCTGGTGCACTACCTGCTCTCTCCTTCCAGAGCCTCGTGCTCTTTCGAGAATCCAGAGATCTGAAGCAAGATCAACGAGGGGACGTCCGACGACCACCGCTGATCTTCAACGAATCGCTCGGAGTCCGGAATCCGACCTCCAACTCGAGGCGACAGAGCGAGCATCCGCTAGTTCTTCAACGCGCGCTGTCCAGTGTGTTTCGGAAGCGCTCATTGGTCTCATGTTTGATTTAGCGGAGCTCGAAGAAGACGGCGTGCCGACGGTGAGTTTCAGGATTCGAATTCCCGCTGTAGCTTGAACTTTCATTTCCCGGGAAGATAGGCTAGGCTATTGATCCATACACTAGTCTTCCGTCCGTCGATCACTCTCTGCCGAAGGCTGATCAAGATTTCATTCCGGAGGAAGATTCATGCTCCGCGAGGGTAGAGCGCTCCCGGGCGCATGGGTTGCGCTCGATGCTAGAGCTCGTTTCGTTTTCGATCTGATAGCGGCTCCCTGCTTTCCCTGACTTCCTTTACCACGAAACTTGAGATTTTCAGGCTTGGGCAGACAGTCCCTTCGCCGGAAGGGATCCTGTTGGGAAAGTCTCTTTCAACACGCCCGAGTCCTCCTCTCCGAAGTTTCGAGCAGCGCGCGGCGCCTCCCGCTGTCGGCCATCTTAGATTTGTGAGCGTTTCGGTGGCCGCTCAATGTTTTTTTGTTGAGTTTTTTTAAGAGTGGTACTTTTCAAAATATTTTAACCTCTGTGACTCGAGTCTAGTGCGGATAGACGACGCCGGATTCTGTTTTGATGAGTGCACACTAGGATGGTTAATGGTAAAGAACAGTTGAAGGTGAGAGAGCGAACATCGATCCTGCTCCGGCTTGCGGTGTGTGTTGTTGTTCCCATAACTCGCGTTTCGCGTTCTAATCTCTGTGTTCGATTTCACACTCGATGTCCGATGCGGCATAGGTTGATTCTGCGCTTTCGGTAGGATAATGCTCATTGCGATAGAGAGAAAAAGCAGCGATCGGCCTTGATTACCCCTGAAATTGCCGAGTTTCGAACCTCACTGCGGCTTGAGCTCATGATGCAGCGCCGGAAACTATGTCCTGATTGGGATGGAATCATCGGTTTTTCCTATGGACCCTATTCTCGATCACCGATACTAAATAAGGGGCCAGAAACCACCGTTTCCGGATCCGTTTCGATTCGCGGCGTTAGTAGGGCCGTTTCGAGGAAACTTCTCGGAGCATTCGAACGCGAGAGACGAAACTCCGAGCTTTTCAAAGGGCAGAACCTGTTGGTGGGGCTTCGGTGTATGGTAATTATTGAGATTTGACAGCACCTATTTTTTTGCGGCAGATGCCGCGAGGATTGCTGCGAGTCAATTTATGGAAGTTGGTGTTCCAAAGGCTGGACCGTTCCATTCAGCTGACGTCTATGACAACAAAAGTGCTCTTGTCGCCGCCGATTCAATTCCCGGTGGCAAGAGCGATGTGGAAGACAACGTCTTGCGCTATTGCTTTGCGAGAGAGCTCAGCAAGTGCAGCTTTTTCTTCCTCTACCGCTTCATGAGAAGGTGGTGGTGGCGATGGCGGCGTCGGCGGCGGTGGTAGCAGCGAGCGCAGAGCGCAGAATGTCGACTATGCTGCTGACACACTCTCCGTTAAATTTGGCGGCGTTTCCAATGGATTTCCCGATGTTTTGACCCGCGTACTCGTGAAGCAGTCCTGGAGCCCATGGGAGCGGGGAAACCTCAGAGGGAGGTAGAAAGTCCAATATGAGGGACGTTGACGCTCGGGCTATAACATTTCAAGTCGGTGATAGAAACGATCCTTTCCCCGGGCCGCCGGGGCTGCTGCCGTGTGCAGTGTTGATGCTTTGCGCTGTGGCACCAATGTGGTGGAGTTGTGATGTTCTCTCTTCGCATGGCCCGTGAGCAGCTGAGCGAGCGTGCAGACATCGGTGTGAATTCCCCTTGAAATTCCGAGTTTTCGCCGAAATCAGGACCCAATCGGCGGATCGGCTGAGTCTCAGGTATGCGTGGGTGCTCGATGGACGGCGATCCGGCGCGAGGGGTTTTTCGATAAGCAGCGGCGAGGTTTGCGAGACCTGTAGCTGGTGCGTGCAGCGCTGTGGTACGATTCTCGACACGACCGACGGTGAATGGAGCGAGCAGCAGCAGCAGCCGGCTCTTGTGTTACTTAGAGTGGTGTGGTGGTGGTGTCTAGTAGCAGCGGCAGCGCAGCAGCAGCAGCAGCTAGTGAGTGTGAGTGATCAGTGGCTCGCTGCTGAAACCAGTCGTCATAAACCGACATCCATTCTCGATGTGCGTTGGATAAACGACCGGTCGGAAAGCAGAAATGTTTCCTCAAGCCCCTCGACACCATTATGACGAATGAGAAGCTTGACGGCGAGCACTATCAGCCTAAAATTTCGGAGCGATTCGCAGCACCAGCGACGACGTCGAACCTCATCGACATCACGACGGCCGCCGCAGCAGCAGCCGCCGACGACGACGATAGGAATCAACAGCTAACGAAGGTGCGCTCGACAGACCGACCTGCTGCTCGAACGAGTGGAGATCGGCCCACTGTACGCAAGGAGGGACCGGAACTAGGCTTGCGAGGCGGCCAGCTCGATCGGCTGCTGAATCAAGTTGAGCCGTGGCAGTGAGTGGATGTAAGGCTACTTGAGTTGCGACGCCGGATGACGTGGTGCTCACTCGAGAGCCCGTCGTCCTCTACTGTTGTCGAGTTCCCTCGACGGAAAGACCGTCAAGCAAGTCTGGGATTGACTGATTGATCGATTGATCCAACAATCGATCAGCGCCCACTGAACGCTTATCGCAACTGAGTGCGGCGCCATTCCGCCCACACGAGCGGCGGCAAGGTTCGAGCATCGGTGGAGTTCATTCGTTTGTTCGTTCGAACCATATTTCGGTCGGTACACAAACGCTCTCGGATTCTGCTCTTAAGAAAGTCGCGAGCGTGATCTCGTTCGGAGCACCGTTCGGAGCTAGATCTCCCGGCGGAAGGAGCCGCCGCTCTGGCAGCTTCGAGCAACAACAAAGTAGTGATCTAATCGGGTTAAGGTTCACGTTGGGGAAGATTAATAACCGTAGGGCTTCGCTCGAGCATCCACACAAGCATCGCTCATGTCGAGTTTTTCGTTTGCAGGGTGTAGCACTGAAAAGATCTCTGGAAGAGCACGCACCGAGTGCCAGCGGGCCGGAACCGAAGAAAATGGCTGCGAGTCAAACCGTGATACCTGGTGTACAGCCCCCTATGCCCTCGAATTCCGTATCGGAGGAATGGTCCGTACCAGATAAGATGGTTGGACTCATCATAGGTGCGTCTTCCTCCCATATCGCTCGATACCGCCGTAGATATCAGAGGGGAACATCCCCACAACAATATATCGTTATCAGCACGAATCAGATCCGAACAGAGATTTGGCCGGTGTCCCGGGCCTCGCGGATCCGTGATTCCACTGTCCTGATTAATCGGGAATCATCCGCGCGTTCCGAGGACCTGAGAGCCGACGTCGTAGTTCCTCCAGGCATTCAATTTCGCTTCGAATTGCAGGAAGAGACGGAAAACAGATATCGCGGCTCCAGCATGAGACGAGCTGCAAGGTTCAACTTTCGTCCGAATCAAACGGTACTCCGGAAAGGCCTTGTGTACTCATAGGAACAAAACAGGCCGTCGAGAAGGCCAAGGAAATGATTTCAGCTCTTATTAGCCGTGGACAGGAAACCTCGCACAAAGGTAACGACATGCAACAAGGGCACAAGACCCGTGCCTGCGGGTCGTCCCCGGTGATCAGGATGTGGGTGTAATACCCGCGATAGAGGCCGGTGAGAGCGAGCGAGCGAGCAATCGAAGAATCGCCTGGACAAGGCGTTCTAAGGCCGCGGGCATTCTTTGCAGCCGGATCGATGAATGGTGGTCCGGGCCAGGGAGAAATCGTAGAGGATATGCCATGCCCAGCAAGTAAAGCAGGACTCGTAATTGGACGTAACGGCGAAACGATCCGGAATCTGCAGAGTCGTGCCGGCGTGAAAATGGTATTGCTGCAGGACAATCCCGGAAACAGTCCTAACGCCGAGAAGCCTATTCGCATCACCGGAGAGCCCCATAAGGTGGAATTGGCGAAGAAAATGATCCGCGACCTGATCAGCGGCTCGCTTCAAAACGGCGGCGGCGGCGGCCGCTTCGGTGGAAGCCACATGGACCGCGGTTTTCCAGGCGTGGGAGGCTCCATGGGACCGACGCCGGTGCCCGGTGAGCCTGGATCGATGCAGGAGCAACTTCTTGTACCGCAACAGGCTGTTGGAGTTGTGATTGGCAAGCACGGTGAAATGATCAAGCGCATCCAACACGAAACCGGGGCACGCGTTCAGTTCCAAGGCACTCCAGACGAAACTCATCCCGATCGAATTTGTGTCATAACCGGACAAAGTAATCAGGTTCTCGGAGCGTGCAGTAAAATATCCGATCTCATCACATCTGTACTGGTGAGTAGTCGATCGCTTCCCGAGCAGTCTCGCTCCCATGTGAAACGATGTTCTGAACCGTAGGCATTTTTTCCTGTTTTCCAGCAACGAGACGATGAAATAGGCGGTCACACTTTTGGATTGGGAAGAGGTGCGCTGAGTCGCGGTGGAGGACGTGGTGCGGGACGTGGTGGTTTCCGCGGGGGTCGCGGGGGTGGTCGGGGAGGCCCCATGTCGGGAATGGGCGGGCCGATGAGTGGTTTGTCGTCACCGACCGGATTGCCGGACGAGACAGAGATACAGTATCCGGTACCCGCCTCGAAGTGCGGTCTCGTCATCGGTAAAGGCGGCGAGACGATTCGGTCCATCATGAATGCCAGCCGTGCGTACGTCGAGCTGTGCAGAGTCGCAGATCCAAATGCGGCCGATAGGTTCTTCATAATTCGGGGGAGCCCGCAATCCATCGAGTCGGCTCGACAGCTGATCTCTGAGAAAATCGGGAGCGCCAATATGATGAGCCCCTCGAACGGAACTCCAAGTGGATATCAACCCAGCTACGGGGGACAGTATCCGCAAGCTACCAACCAGTATGCTTCGGTTGCACCGACGTCCGCTCAACAGGCCTGGACGCAAGCATATCAACAGAGCGCGAACGGCAGCGCTCAATGGGGCCAACCTCCTGCGGCAGCAACGCCGAACGGCGATATGAGTGAGTTGAAAGCGGCCTCGAACGTTTCTCCGATTGTGCAAGATCGTCGAGTGGGAATGAAATTCAGGCTACGCGTCGTCGGTTCTAACCCCGTTCTCCCCCCGAAATTCTGCAGATAAGACAGAACAACCCACATGGGCGGCGTTCTATCAGTACTCCTACACTCAGCAGGGGGGCAATCCCCAGCAGGCCGGCCAACAACCCGGTCCACCTGCAGCTTCGCCTGGCGCGAGCAATAACAGCGCGCCGGCATCCACAAATGCGGCCGGCACTGCGGACTACAGCCAAGCCTGGATCGAGTACTACAGGCAATTGGGAATGTTCCACGAGGCTGATTGTATCGAGCGGCAAATGCGGGGAAATGCTACTGTGTCTCCTGTCGCCCAACAACAGGTGTGTTGCGAGACGGCGCCGGCGCTTCCAATCCTTCGCAGCCGAATGGAAATTCTGTGCCCATGGTGTATTGGAATCCAAAATCGTCTCTCCCCGATGGCTCGGTGATTCCCTCGGAATGAACGGAGGTGTTTTATTCTTCCGCAGGCGGCCGCTCCGAATGGTCCGACCGGTGTTGCTCAGAACGGTGCCGCGTGGGGTGCCTCTCCCTATGGGACGCAAGCGACCACGTACGGTGCAGCGCAATCCGCACCGACACCTTACAGCACTTACGGATATCCCAACGCATAAGTCTCTCCCCCCCTCACATCCATACAACCTTCTCAAGCTAATTCCTTCCCTACAAAATCAATACAGTAATCGTCCCCCGAAACCCAGAAAAAACACACGCCCAGACACTCCTTACAGTATAAATCTAACTTCTCGAACAACAAGTAAAGTAGAAACACAGTCACACTAGGACAGAAAGTGGGTACATACACTTACGCATTCACAGTTGGTGCAGAGTTGCTCAAAGACGAGGTGAGCATCTGAAGTTTCTTTTTTGGACATAAGGAAGATGACAGAGCCGTTATCCTAGAGTCTGGGGGCTGTCTCGATTGGTCGCAGTCGCGGGACTACCAAGCAGAACCGGAATTTCCATAATCTAATGTGTTCTTCATTCCCCAGTCGAAAGGATGTACAGCTGGCTTGGGAACGAGGAAGTAGAACAGGAAACAGTCTGCACACAGAGCGGTAGCGACTGATGGTACAGGGGAGCTCCATTGGAATTATTCCATCAATCTGTCCATCCATCCGAGTATTCATCGGGCGTCCATCCTCCTCTTCATCGAATCTATTTTTCACGGAGCCTCTGACGAACGATCCATAGAATGCGTCAATCGTGGAGTTTCCAGCCTAAGTCCGCCTACGAAGATGGGAGGGTGTTGTAGTGCTGGCGTTTGAGGCGAATCGAGGACTTTGAAATGCCATTCGTCGGTCCAGCAGGACTTCCCGGCCATATGACCAAGCTGAGGAGAGCTACCGCGCGCGGAGAGACCAGACGAAGAATCAATCAACCAATAATTATCAACCTGGTCATCGTGCCTGCTCTCAGCAATCCTCAAGATCTACTTCCGGCGGTTTCTCCAATCGGAACGAGCTTCATCATCCATGCAAGCAAGGGCCACCAGGGGATCATCAAGCAATCCAATAATGATCGTGAGGTCTCTCCCCAGGCGTAGATCCCTGCCTCACGGGCGTTCTGCCATCCTCGCGTGGTTACAGTTCGAGTTGGTATCGTGGTCGGAGTATCTGCTAGCTGACCTAGAGAGGAACGTCCTGAGGATCGGGGTCTCCGTCTTTCTGAGCGAGTAAACCTTTGTTCCAATTTACTCGTTCGAGCGCGGTGTCAATTATTAGCTTTCGCAAGGTGTCAATCATAGAAAGATTTCCCGTCGAGAAATACTGGACGCTTGTCTCCGGAAGGCGATCTTCATCCTGTCCGACGATCCTTCCGGAAAGCATACTCGAACCAACGTCCTGGTGCGCCGTCTCTCCACACGAAGAAACAAGAAGTAATGAGATAGCATACACAGTGAGACATTGGGTCGTCAAAGAAGCAGAATGGGAAGCAAAGGAAGTTCTCTTCCACTACGCAAGCCCGACGATCCTGAGGCCGTAAATCGGAGCGATGGTATCGCGGCCCGCGAAAATCCCATTGCAAGTGATTGCGAAAGCCCTGTCGTCAAACAATGTCAGATCATCATTCCGGTCGGTCTCTGCACTCGGGGAGAACCACAATTCGACAATAATTTCTACAATCGCTTCCCCCTCGACGTGTCGTCGGACCCTGCGTCATCGTGGACTTCGTCGCCGAAGTCGTTGTCTCTGTGTCTCTTCGTAAACATAGAATACAAGCATTGTCGTTGTATATTATTTATGAGAGGATAATATGAAAAGTCGGATCAGTTGGTAACGTGCGGTGAATTTGCCGCCACCGTTCCGGCGACAGCAGCGTGTCAACACAGAGCGATGATGGAAAAGCATACATAAACAGATCATGCAGATGAGATATAGAATATGATGGTGGTGATGATGAAAAAAATGGTACGAGATCCATGGATGATTCTACGAAAAAGTTCCCCGGACAGCCGCGGAGGCCGCAGTAGTAGCAGCAGAAGCGGTGGTGAAATGAGAAGAAAAAAAAAGAAGAGCAACAATAATCAGCTTTTTGCCTTCTTCAGGGTGATGTATAACCAAGGACTGTGTAGAAGTCGAGGGAATTTCCGAGGAGAATAAACTCACACGTAAATTATTTTATTTTTTCCTTGTATCTGGTGCAGTGTAGCGACATGATGCTTTCCCGATTTGTTGAAAATCTCGTTCGCGATAATTCCCCGGTCACTCATGCGGGTGTGTGAACGTTCGCCTCGTGGGCACACTTGGAATGGAACCAATTCAAGAATGTCTCATGGCTAACCATAAAACCATGATGCTGCTTTCGTCAGATATTCCACCCTTAATATTCACTGTCAGTTGACTTGTATAGATTTGTGTTCCGATATGTACCTCCAGATAAGGTATATCTGAGATCTTGAGGGCTGTTTCTATCATCGTGAGAGTGGAAGTTAATTCTATTCCTTTGTACATACTTGAAAAAGGAGAGTCCGAAGTGAGATCAAGGGATCTTCGTCGACCCACCAAGGCTATCGACGAGAGACCGGACACACATGATCAACTGGCGACGAGCCCCTGACTTCAGATCACTGGCGCTTAGGCCGGGTGTGATTGAACAAAGAGTAGGACTAGGGGTCTTCAGAGACAAGTGAGCATCTGAGAGATACCTTACGTCGGAGTGGTAGACGCTCATGTTAGGATATGAAAGGGGAATTTGTAGTTATCACCTGGTTTCCAAAGCCTTTCGAGCTTGTGTGGCAACTTTCACATCCACACCCCGGGAACAGTCGTTCTATCAGCATTCGGAAAGGCCGTATGGTATGACGGGGGAACGAGGGACGGCGGAGGACATCTCCGTAAACTTCAGAACTTCTATTGAACGAGAACGATGAACCCGATAAGACTTGTAATCCCTAGGCGCGGATTGTGCAGATTAAAGTTCCGAATACGAATAATACTAGTGATTGTGAAAGTCGATTACAAATAAAGATATATTCACGGCATAACAATCCGCAAAGTCCTCGCTCGAGTAGCGTGATAGCGGGAGTCACAGTGAAATAATTGGGCGTATTGTTCGTAAGCTTGGATACGATTATCATCTCAGAGATCAGAAATGACTCAAGCGACCCATCCCCCTTCCAAAAGCATACCTGGCTGGCGAACAGTGTGACTTTGGACCTGAAGACTTTTGCTACGGCAAGGTATAATTTATTCTGCTCATATTGAGAGCGTGACATGCGCTTCAAATTCAAATCGATTCTCGGAAGGCTCCGCGAACCGTCTTGTTTATCTCGATCGGATGATCCTGATTGCCATACATATAGTTTCAAGACAAATTACTTGAGCGAGCCCTGACCCCCTAGTCGCCCGAAGTATCATAATAATCCAGCTCACCATTCTCTCGTTCGTCCGCAGCCTTTCGCCGATTCCGAAGGATCCGTCTCCCGAGTTTGCTGCGAGAATCGGTGTGCCGTTCCGATGTGAATTCCTCTCACCCCCGTATCTCTCCGCGAATTGTTGGGCGACGGACTATCGGGTTTTCGCGGGAAATCTCCTCTCGTCTTGACTTCAGATACGCCCTGCAGGACGGGGTGATGAAAGGGAAGAACCGATACCGTGCTAGGAGACGAGCGGTCGAGCCGGATACCCCATTTTCTGGATGGCGGGGCTCCCCGATAGAATACGGGTATCCGGGAGTTGATATTCGAGCAGCAGGAACAATACGAAGCAGGATTGCTCGCTGCTCGGCCCTCTAGCTGATTGGGGTGGGTCAGCAAATGCGCCACGCGCGTGAGTCGTCTTATGAGTCTGATCGATGCGAGCGGCACTGCGTATTGAGCGGAACTGCGGGGCAGCCTTCGTCGGTCATGATCATGCCTATATAATGATTTGCGCCGTCTCGGATGTCGCTTCGTGACGCTCTGGGGATCGGGAATCTGATGTGATACCGCATGGGTGATCCCCCGATTCCTCGATCGCCGATGCCCCGATTTCTCCGCTCCCGCAGCGGATTCTCCGAGCGGGCTCCGGGGTGGAAAGTTATCGACTCGGTTGCTGAATCGGTGGGACAATTGACCAGTCCATCGAAACATGATGTTGGTTTCCCCAACCTATCTTCTCGTCTTCTCTCTTCTTCTCTATACATAAAAATGACTTACACGCACTTGGATGTCCCGTATGCGCTCTTGAACTACGCAAGCCAAAATCCTCAGATTTTACCGAAACATCCGCCTCAGCGCAGAGGAGGTTATAGGCTAATAGAATCCCCTCGAACATTACTAGTTTTCCCGTGAGCTCAATTTTCCCTCCGTTCTGGTTCACATCATCGTTTTCTGATCATTATGAATGGAGCAGCTGCGGGCGCTCTTTAGCGCTTACGTGATTAGGATCAGGTAATGATTAGGATTCAGTCGGTTATGAACACGAACGGGTGAACGTCTTATTCAATGTGATGTGATTGTTCAACTCTGTCCTTTTTCTATCAAAGTACGTAGATTATACATGCTGTGAGGCGAGCTAGACAATATGCCACCGAAGCGGCCCTTTATCGGTCAATCGACCCATGAAGCTCGAAAGAAACGAGTCGCGCGTCGGAGCGAATATGTGCAGCAGCGTTCGTCAGCATAGGATCACCATCACCTTGAGATCCATCACTTTTGGATCTCTCAGTCAGAGATGTTTGTATTAGTAAAACTTTTCACTCTTCGGCTCTTGCGTGCCATCGCGGCGAGTTCCGATCCTGAGGAGATGTGATACACCCAAACCTATGTTAGGCTTCCAGTCCCGGAGATGGGGATGTGCGGTGAGAATCATTCATTCATTGGACCTTTTCGAAATCGTGGGGGCTCTTGACTATTTTCTGTGCGGTGGAATGTTGCGACGAATCAAAGTGAATGCTCGCAATAGCACCGAGTACAAGCTCGAAATCGGCCTCAGAATCAGCAGCGAAATGTGTCGGTTGCTTTATCAGAAGAAGTTGCGGGAATCCGTCCCCTGGCGCTCTGGCGGTAGAGGATATGAGAGAGAATGGGCCCACCGGAACCGTGTAGAGTATACCCACGGTGGCGGCCTAATAATCAACGTTCCTATCGCGCATGCAAGAAATCCCTGAGCCGTCCGAGACGAAATCATTTGGGAGCGAGCTCATCTTT